TTCTTCTTCTTCTTCTTCTTCTTCTTCTTCTTCTTCTTCTTCTTCTTCTTCTTCTTCTTCTTCTTCTTCTTCTTCTTCTTCTTCTTCTCTCTCTGCCCTTAGAGGAGTTCATTCCATACCTCAAAAATTATTTGAGCATTTTTAATTCAAATTTATTAAAGCGTGTTACACACTTTTGTTTGTGACCTGATAAGAATCAGGGTGATTGTGTGCACTGTTGGATACTGAAATGTTTTCATGAGCTTTGGGTTTTTGTCCTTCACTTCCTGTCACCCTCCTCACTGTGTCACTCATGGCACAGAAGTAGACAGCCGAGTCTCTCAGTTCCCCAGACACCTTTGTCAGATTGAAAGAGGTCTCTTGCTTATCGTGGTGGGCTACAAGACCTTTTGCCTCCTTGCTGCTGCTAGACACCAAGAACTGAGGACCTTCATTTGGATGTTGTTCATACCAGAAAAGAGTTGGGGAGTAAGAGGTTTCGTATCGGCATGGCAGCAAAATGCTTTTCCCCTCTGGAACGGCAACTGTAGCTTTTGCTTGGAAGACGGGGTCTCCGAATGCGCTTCCTGAAAAAAAGAGTTGGAAGGCTGTTATCAAAGACTATGCCTTTAACACCACCATGTGCATGGGTGTGCTGCCTTAAACGTTTTTTTCCCCTCTTTTTTTAATCTTGGAACTAGTTAGCAAGTTTAGATTAGGCTAGGTAAGAGTCTGTCCTGACATTGACAGCCCAGGCTAGCCAAATCTTGACAGGTCTTGGAAGCTAAGCAGGATTGGACCTGGTTAGTTCTTGGATTGGAGACCACCAAGGAGGCACAGAGTTGCTACGTAAAGGTAGGCAGTGGCAAACCACCTCTGTTTGTCTCTTGACTTGGACACTCTATGGGGTTGCCATAAATTGGCTGTGATTTGACAGTGCTTTCCACCTCCACCAGAAGAGGTTTGTTTAAACCTGGCAGTGAGAACCAAAAGCAGCCACTTTTTACTTTGTACATCTCTACGAGCAGGAAAGTATAGTGAGAGAGTTGAAGAAGCCAGTACAACCGTTCCTAGACACTTTACACCAGGTAGGTGAGCAGACCAGAGAAAAAGCAGTCTTCAGAAACCCACAGATATAAACGAACAATGTGGTACGATCACTGAAAAAGAAAGGGGTTATTTTAATAGCATGAAATTTGCATGGGGAAAAAAATTATACTCACTTGAAGTTAATGACAATAACCCAATAAATGCCGATGCAAAGATCATGGCAAAGAATATGTATGTCTGGATCCACACTGTACAGCGCTGGGGGTGAATTATATTTGACCCTCTTCAGTAGCTGGGTGAAAGGATCTGAGGTTCTTCAGCAAAAAATGGTAAGGTCCCCTTAGAAGTTTTTGATGCCCTCTTTCCCACTTCCGTTCAACCGCTTGTGGTTTTCTGATCTTCCGTTCAGTAGAGCAACCTGGAGGAAGTCAGCTTTGTTTGTGATATTATTCCACTATGGTCTACATCATTGAAAGCAACAGTTTTATGAAATCCAGCTGGGTGGGGGACAATTCTAGGGACCTCCCCTAAACCATGTTCTATAAGAACATAAGAGAAGCCAATGTTGGATCAGGCCAATGCCCCATCTAGTCCAACACTCTGTCACACAGTGGCCAAAAATACCAGGAGCCATCAGGAGGTCCAGCAGTGGGGCCGGGACACTAGAAGCTCTCCCACTGTTGCCCCCCCCCCAAGCACCAATAATACAATGCATCACCTGCACTAGACTGTGAATCCCTATCTATACCTTGTGGCTAATAGCCACTGATGGACCTCTGCTCCATATGTTTATCCAATTCCCTCTTGAAGCTGTCCATGCTTGTACCTGCCACCACCTCCTGTGGCAGTAAATTCCACGTGTTAATCATTCTTTGGGTGAAGAAGTACTTCCTTTTATCTTTTCTAACCCGACCACTCAGCAATTTCATGGAGTTCCCACAAGTTCTTGTATCGTGAGAAAGGGAGAAAAGTACTTCTTTCTCAACCTGCTCTGTCCCATGCATAATCTTATAAACTTTGATCATGTCACCCCTCCACCATCGTTTTTTCAAGCTAAAGAGCCCTAAGCGCTTTAACCTTTCTTCATAGGGAAAGTGTTCCAACCCTTTAATCATTCTAGTTGCCCTTTTCTGCACTTTTTCCAATGCTAGAATATCCTTTTTGAGGTGTGGTGACCAGAACTGTTCACAGTACTCCAAATGAGGACGCACCATTGATTTATACAGGGTCATTATGATACTGGCTATATCACTTCAAAATCTGGGAAGAGGTTGTGTGGTTGTCACAAGAAAAGGATGAAGTTTCATTAGGAGAGAAGAGAAAGAGTGAAAAAGGAATGAAAGGATTAAAATTGGTTTCTTTTAAATGTAACAGTTTATGAATAAGCTCTTAACTATAATAGGAGAGGAAGATGA